GAAAGTCCTAATGCAATGACATCAGAGCTTCCCAATACCCATTTTAGCACCAATTAAAGTGGCAATGCTCAGAGAACCATTTATCTTTATACTGTAGGAGTCTGAGCAGTGCTGTTATTACTTTTGAGGGGGAATTGTACAGTCTCCTTGTCAGTTGGTTTAGGTTGCCTAAATGAAGCCAAATTGCTCTTGCCATCCCCAGCTGCTGCTGCTGCCTGTGTGTTCCACCTTCCCCACGTTCACATTAATCCATCAGCCAAGAGCAAAACAACCTTCCCTCAGTGCACCTCCTGCAAACAGGGTAGGAAAACACCACAAAAGGGAAAAAAAACCACACATCACTTGCAGCATTTTTACATGTAATAGTAACAGTCTCTTGGTGCCATCATCAGCCATGGCATTTCATTCACACAGAACACTTGTGGGCACATCACATATGCTTTTCCATTCAATGTATTTTTAAATGTTTCCCAGGCAACTGTTTCAATACAATATGCCTCCTTGGCAACCTGGTACCCGCAAATGCCATGCTAGTCTCCCTAGTCCTCTTTTTAGGTCTTCCCATCTTGGCATATAAATGTCACAAGGCTGGGTTTTCCATCTCCAGCCACACAGGTGCTGATCTGTCCTTGCATTTGGAAAGGCTGAATTGAAGAGATGAGTCGTGCACTGGGTGTTGCACATTGGCAAATTCAGCTTTGGTGTGCTACCAGAGGGAGCAGGTTTCAAAGGCAGTGACTTTTTGTGGGGAAGAGAATGTCTCCTGCAACTAAAATTAAGGAGAACGCACAAAACTGTCTCCACTCAACTGACTTTCTCTGGAAGCAGCAATGAGCCTGCACTTCTCAAACTGAAATGCACGTCATCTTTATCCTCCTGACTAAGCCAGTCTCACCCAGCTCTCCTCATTTTGTGGTTTCATTGTAACACATCACATTAATGAAAAGAGTCAGACTTTCCCATTTCACCACAGCCAGTGATTAGCACTGGACTGAGTGGGTCAGTTTGCTGAGTTACTCTTTCCAGGGCTGCATTTGCTGCCACTGGCTATTTAGGGGACACATGGTGACATTAGAGCGGAGCATTTCAGCTGTGGGACATTTGCTGCAGCAGCCTTCTGTGCTGCTCTGCACACTGTGGTCTCTTTGGGGACATTGTCCTTTATTACATTTAGCAGAATGGCCACGCTCATCCTTGAGTGAAGTCCCAGACTGTTTGACAAGGACAAAAAATTATCAACATGTACTCCCAAGCTAAGCACTGATTAGATATAATAATTAAAATATAATAATATTTCAATGGTCTAGCAAGGAACAATTTCTTCTGAACATTTTAATCTGATACTGGAGCTATCACTACAGAAGAAATGATATTTCAGAAGGTCTAAAACTATCAGCGAGCATCAGTCGTCATAAAAAAAGAAGTTTTAATAAAAACTGTATGTGCTTCAGCCTCAAAGTGGCACATTAAAAAAAATAATAGCTGCTGCATGCAATGACATCAGGCTCTGAGAGAAACCCAGCAGAAACTGTGACATCTCTTCTTCATTGATTACTCCATAACAACAGCTGAAAATTACAATTTTTCCAGGCTATAAAATGCCTAGCACTCCAAATTCTACACCGGCAGCAAAAATCTCCTCCCTGTCTGTGAGCTGTTGTATCTGTAATAGAGACCCTGCATTACCAAGCTTTCTAATTCTTCCCAAATGCAGAAGCTCTCATTCAATGCTGCAGCTGTTGGGGAGGAAATCAGAAATAGCAGAAGGCGGATTAGTTGATAATGTACCAGTTCTTCCCCAGCAAATGCTGGCACCTGCGTTTTACACTCTCCTCTTTCCCTCAGCCCAGGAAAAGATCACTTGGTTTGTTTGGCAGGCAATTCATAGGCTTCAGTGATTGTGGAACTGCAAAAGGATTAGAATTTGTTATAATAGCCCCTTCTTCCTGAGAGCAAAAGTTAAAACTGAGGCCCACTTTACAGCAAGAATCAGGGACCATGTAAGTAAAGATTAAGCGTGTGCAGCTTGATGAGACTCAACAGGGAAGAGATAACTACACATGCTGGCACTCCATTTACAAGGAAATCCCTGCAGATAATCTGTAGGAGCATTCTGGCTTCCACAAGCTCAAATCCCTTGACCACTGGCTCAAATCCAGTCAAGGCTGATTATGATAAAGACTACTCTCCTATTTCTAGGATAACTTTTTCCCTAAGACCACTAAACATCCTAATTATTAAATTAGCAAGACCCAAAATCAAGCAAGAAGTAATAGGATTTCCATGCAGTGGAGGAAACAGAAGAGAAGGTCTTGTGCAAAGGGGCAAGCCCAAGAACAGGTCCTGTTCTACACTTTGCCTTCCTGTTCTTGGTACATTATTCATTCTGGCAAGATGCAGATGAGAAATAGCAAATGCCCTTAATGGACAAAGATTTCTAGTTTGAGATCTGGAGGTAGTTAGAGAAGCAGACATAGCAAGGATGAAAACACTCATGACATGGTTAGAGTGGGTATCATTAAATAGGTAACAATCCGAAAAACCTTAGAATTTTCAGTTAAATCTACAAAATCCAAACCCACCTACAATCTACAGTCGCTACAGAAGCAAGGTTTTCTCCTTTTGCTTTTTACAAGCAGAAGCTGCAATAATAATTTCCCTATTCTTTTTATTATATTCTTTCATTTGTGGCCCTTACTGCACAATAACCAATTTTTATGTTCCCCCATAATAAAGCTTTTGCAAATGCTGTAAGTGCTCACAGCACCACACAGCAACACCTCCAGCATGAAGAACAGGCTGCACTCCTGATGGCTGCTCTGGGAGAAGTCATATCCAACAACATAAATCCATGGGTACAACACACGGTTTAGCAGCAGAGGATTGTCCAAAGAGTATCCAAGGGCTCATAAAACATAAAACACTAACCCAAACATCACAGGAATAAAAGAAACCCTGTGGCATCACTGATCGTTAGCACAGATACACCCAGGAGTATGTTCAGAGCGCTTTCACAGCCCCCCGGATTTTGTTAAACCCCTGGTTTTGCATAGTCTGCTGCCTCCATGTGGTGACAGTCAGCGCTGGGCCACAATTCCCAGTGATGCTGAGTAAAATCCCCCAAGGAACACTTCTTCAGCTGGTAGAAATCAGATTTCTACCCCTCCTCTGTCACCTCATTTCCCACCACTTCCACGGCCAAACCCCTCTTCAATTCACACTTTTTCTTTATTTACACCCCCTTTCTCCTGCTGTTCTTTGCTCTGTCTCTGCTGCCACCACTACCACCTGTCCACAGCAGCCTAAACCCTTCAGATCCAGATTCACCCTTTGCCTCTGTTCCACTTACCTTGCTCCACCTGCAGCTTTTGGGGGAACGCCTTTCCCAACAAAGGAAAGGAGGGCAAATTTCCTGGGATCTCCTTTCACCACACTGGGAAGCAGCTTCTAAATGGCAATAAAAATGACAGAAGCCTGTGGCTGTACCTTGGGTGTTCCCTGGGCACTGCAGTAGCTGTAACAGATATTAATGTGGGAAAAGGTTAGTCTTTGTGACAGGGGTTGACTTTTCCAGTAGTTTCTTTCTTCCTGGATTTTATTCTCATTTTACTCTGCCCATCACACAGCTGAAATGCTGGCCCTCTAGTGTGACAATTTTTTTATTATTTTTGTTTTTCAGCTGGGCTATCTATTGTATAAACCCACATAGATCCCAGGAGCAAGCAAACACTGCACTTCCAAGATTTTTATCCACAAAATGAAACCTATTAATGCTGCTTTAAAGTTAAGAAATTGGCTATTACACCGAGTTAAAGGCATTATGGACTCACAGAAACACCAAGTACCTGAAGGGAAGGTGAAGGCTGGGCAGAGCCTCCCAGATCTCTGCACAGACAGAATCATCCTCAGCTGAAACACCTCTGGATGGGGCTGAATGGACCTGCTCAGCTTTAAATTTATGTGAAATGAATCTCTGAACTCTGATACCCATTTTCAAGTTTCAGATCCACTCAAAGCATATATTTAGTCAACTTAATACATTTTTGCTGGGCTGTGTGACCAACACAATAATTCACTGATGTAACCTCTAACAATCAGTTAATAGTGATGCCTCCTTTCTACTCTGAAAAATCCAAGGATGGCACAGTCCACAGACATCCAGGAATACATAAACGCAGTTACAGAAGAATGTGGATTTGGACTCATGTTTTACCAATAATAAATTGGTTTCATCCAAAGAGTCCTCTGTGATGGTGCTCCCTCATGAACACCTGTTACCAAACTGGATTTATTTCCTTGCACAGTTATTTTTTGCATCAATTGTTAAGAGTTTAAACAGCAGAGTTACTTTCTGATCCGTTCATGTGCTGTTGGAGGATGAAGTGTCTGTCACCATTCCTCTGGGGTCTGTTTTTGAGACGGCTGCAGGCTGGGGGAGTGTTTAAACCCTCTCTAGCAGGGCGACATTCTGGCCAAAAACGTCAAATCGCATCACTTCAGATTCTTCTGTAAAAGCGAAATTAGGCCAGAGTTGTGCTCCCAATCCATTTTAATTTTTGGAAGAACAGCCTTTGGGTTTGGCCCCGCGCCGCAGCGCCAGACCCAGGGCGGGACCGGCCAGGCCCGACCCGCCGCCATCTTGTCCCCCTCAGCCACGGGGACCACCCAGCACAGGCCCTGACCGTGCCCTTCCCAACACACCAAAACCCTATAAAAACATAAAGTTTGAGGGGTAAAAACAACACAAAAACGGTCTGTTTTCCAGACAGACCAGCCCCCGGCGGCTGAAGGGGGCAGGGGCTGCGGAACGCCGGGCTCCCCTCAGGGTGCCCTCACGACCGGCCACCCTCTCCCACAGGCCCCGCGCCGTGAGGGCGGCTCTGAGGGCGGAGAGTCACAGCCCCGGCAGCGCGCCCGGGGCAGGAGGAGGACGAGGAAGAGAAGGAGGAGGAGGAAGCCCCGGCCGCCCTCTCTCCCCGCCCTCCCGCTGCCGCCAGCGCCGTCCCCCGGCGAGGCGCGGGGAGCCTCGGCCATGTGTGAGGAAGGAGCCGCCAAGCTGCGCCTGAAGCCCCGGACGGCGCCGTCCGCCCGCGGCCGGGAGCGCAGCCCCGGCCCACAGCCCCCGCCGCGGCCCCAGTGAGTCGGGACCGGGGGGATCGGATCGGTCCTGGGGGACCCAGTCGGCACCGGGGGGACCGAATCGGCTCCGGAGGATCGGAGCCGCCCCGGAGGCCAGGGTGCACTGCCCCGGCGACTCGCGGCGTTTCGCGGTCAGATCTGTGTCTGTTAAAGGTTATTTCATAAAACACCGCCCGTAGCGCCTTTAAAAAATAGAGATAAAACTGCAGGATGGAGCACAGCGTGCCCCACGCCTTCCGCCTTTCCTTGGCACAGAACAGCACTGACAGGGACAGGTTCTGAGAAAAGTCAATGTATGAAAACTCAATTTTCTTTCTCCCAGAATACCCCTCACAGGAGCGCAGAAATATTCCTGTTTTTCTCCATATTCCTGGAGTTCGGAAGGCAGTGAGTGGCTCGGTTTGTGCTCGAGCCCAGGGGCTCAGCCGTGTCCCTTCCACCATGGGCTGTGAGAGGTTGATCACTCCGCTCTTTGAGGGCGTTTTGTTTCCAGTTTCTTCCCTGTGCAGCTTCATTCTTGGACAGTGACCTAAGAAAACACATCAGGAAGAACGCTGGAAGTACCATTGTGATATTAACAATCCATCCTTCCCTTGGAATTGTCTTTATACAACATTACCTTATAGTGCTTATAGTTCCTAGGATCAATTAAATCAAGTTTGGGAAGTTAATCAGTAATTTCAAATGGCATTGTGGGAATGTCCAACATACATGGGAACCGATGCAATTGCCACCCTCAGTGCGAACACTTCCATGATTTCTGTGCTCAGCAGGTGTTAAGTTTGGTATTTGAGGAGATAAAACAGTGTCTGTACTTAACTGTTTCACTTGGAAGTGGAGATAGTGATAGATACCTATTGCTCATTTGTTATGAGCAGAAAGGAAAGCATTTAGACATTCATTTATTGCTAGCTGTACAAATTGCATAAGTCATATAAAGCTGCAAAAAATAGTTTGCAGGCTCAATAATGTCTTTGTGTTCCAGAAAAAAGAGGCAAACTGGTATCAGTGTTAGGAGTATTTTCTTTCTTCTCCCGCACCTTCAAACTATTGGACTGTGTCTTTACAGGGCATCGACTGACAGATGTTCCTGGTTTGAAAAGGAAGAATTAAATGAGTGTGAAAAAACCTGGCTTTTGCTACTGAAAGACATCAGTCAAGATTCACAGTGCACAAACTGGGACACAGTGCCCAGCTTTCCAGAGTTCTTGGAAAAGGTAGCGTGCTGTATCCTTGTTTTTGCACTTTGTGAGCTGCTTCCAATAGCGACAGCCTGCTTAATGGGAAACAACCTGAAATAGCTTTTGGAGATGTGGGGTTTCAGCTCTTTAATCTCTGTGTGCAGCGGTGTGGCTGGGCATGGTGTGGCAGGGAATATAAGGACAGCTGCAAGAGGCTTTTTTTGCAGTACAGCAAATTCTTTCCAACATTTTGCTAGGAAGAGGGAGCCTGTGTTGGATGCTGATTGCCATAAACACCAGCATCTCCCTGAGGAATAAAACTGGACAAGGCAAGCTGTAATGGAGGGGTTAATTGCACAGAACCCACCCTGACATCACTCCAGTGGCATTAGGCAAGATCACGACATAAAAATCAGTCTTTATAAAGTACTTTTTTCCCCCTGAACAGCAGCAGGTTGTTGTTTTCATCCTTAGTCTCTCTGGAACATGAGTACCCATTGCATCCATTTAGAAATGCTGAGGGAAGACCCATTTTCCATCAGCTCCAGGAAGCTCCTGGAGGAGGGACATGAATAAAATGTTCTTTTCTTTCCTGTAGTTCAGCTTTCTCAGTATTTGCAGTGTGTTCTCTAAGCCTGGGTTTAGGTATTGATTGAGCTACATTTGCTTAAGACATTCTCTGTGTGTATGTTGTAGAAACAACAGGAAAAGAGTCCAGAACACCAGGAAGTCTTTACAGTTGGAACAAAAGACTTTCAGTGGGTATCATTCCCATCTTTTCACAAAGAAAAATGTCTGAACCCCAAGGATCTGAGCTCCCAGCAGCCAACACAGAGCCAGAGCAATGAATTACATAAAGGACAGGGCCAGGCAGATAAACTGAAGAGTTTATCATCCACAGCTGAGAAAACCTGCAGGGGAACCAGTACAGATCAAGCCAAAACTGCATCTGGAGCAGACACAAAAGGTGTTTCAGAGCTGGATGTGAGTCCCAAGCCACGGGAACTCCCTGGGCACAGCAGCTCAGCACAGCCCTCAGCGTTGGCACAAAGCCCTGCAGAGGCTCTGGGCCCTCAGCAGCACCACACAGGGACTGTACAGAACAGCAGGGCAGACAGGAGAGAAAAGGGTGAGGAAAAGCCTCAAATCCAAACACATCAGGGGGAGCTTCCAGTGGGAGAGGCCACGGGGATGTCTGCAGAGAAGCCTCGGCTCGGGAGCGCTCCTGGGGCTGAGAGCCACGAGGAGAAGGTGGAAAACCAGAGTGAAGCAGCTTCGGCTCTTGACAGTTGTCCCATGTGTCTGACACAGTTTAGTGGAAGGTAAGTTTGTGTTTTGGTATTTTTTCATCACTTTCCCATAAAGGAACCACAGCAGGTTCTGGATGCATCTTTTATGTACAGAATAACAAAAGCAGACAAAACTTGTACTGTAAGGTCCTTTTTAGCTGTCAGATTTACATACTTTAATCCCATTTACAAGTTGAATATCTGCTCTACAGTAAGAAATGTTAACACAATTTCATAGTACTTAGGCTGTCAGAGTGGCTGAAAATGTGCTTTTCCACAGGTCCTCTAACCCTGCAAGCTCTGTTGGGAGCCACTTTCCCTGTTGTTGGGAGGCTGAGCAGGGAGACAAAGGAGTGGCTACATTAATATTTACAATAATTTTGGTCCTTCTGTCAAGAGACTTAGACAGAAAGGCTTAAAATGCATCAGGTCTGTGCTACTGAGCTGCAGTGTGAGCAACAGTAACAGCAAGGGTGGGAGGTTTGCTAGAGGATTTGGGCACAGGACTGATTGTCCCACTAAGGTACCAGAACACCTCTGGGAGGAAGTAAAGAGCAGTCAGTAGAGGGATGTGACTGTTTCTGTGTTTGCAGACTCTCCCAGCTGGACATCGATGGGCACCTGGCAAGGTGCTTGTCTGAAAGTGCAGATGATGTCATGTGGTAAATCCAGAGGAGAGCACAGGAACCAGGCCAAGGATGAAGCTTTCTCAAAGGAAAAGGAAAAATGTGTCAAGGAAGCACATCCTTGTCTCTGACTTAAACCAGTAACTCAACAGAAGGATAAGTGCCACCTGCCTATTTGTTTTTGTTTTATTTTAAAGCCTCTCAAATGCATGTAAAGTAATTCTAGTTCTGAAAATGGTGCTCTGGGATGTCCCAGAGACCCCCAGGGAAATCAGGCTTGGTACTCCTGAAGAAATGCACTACTGGAAATCCCTCAAGCTTTGTCTGATGCACCAGAGTTCTGAATCTCTCAGAACAGAAGAAAGCAGCTGAGCAAAAGACAACTGTTACTTACTCTATTATTTTTTTTCTAAACAGATAATCTATGAAAATAAACTCAGTTAAAAAGTACTTTGATTTGGCTTTTTTTGTTGTTTTAATACCTAAGTAAGAAAATATAATTGTACAATTGATCCTGGGAGTGTAGCTATTTAAGAGAAAACACATCCCAGGCCAAGTAAAGGGTGTGGGGGTTTTATGTTTCTGAAGGAACCCTTAGCTAAATTCAAAACATTACAGCGCAGGTTTCTCAGTCAGTATCAGTGTTGAGCAGGTGATTAATATGACTGGGCTAATTAGGCTGCAGTGTCACAATGCAGAGTGCAAAGTGAGAGTTAACACAGCCAAAAGAGCTGATTTTGGTACCAGCTGCACACATCCCCCCCAGCCACCACCAAGGGCTCAGAGCAGGGACAGCCAGAGCCTGCTGGGGCTGGGAGGGCTCAGGAGCTCAGCTGCTCTCTGGTCATTCTCAAGGGGAGCAGGGGAACACTTGCTAAGCCTGGCAATGACAATAAATGACATTTAGTGACAGCTCAGTAACTACAAACCAAGGGATGAGATCACCAACCTGCTCTGGTTTATATCCCTGGGCCCTGGACCTCAAAACCTGCAGCTGAGCTGGGATCCAGATCCAGAATTAACAGAGTACAGTACAGAAATACAGGGAGGCTCCTAGAGGTTTAATTTACAGTGGGGTCTGTTGCAGAGGTTGGACACAGCCCATTTCACTGATAAATAATAACAGTCTATTAACTTTTTCATTAAAGTCTTTAATAGATGTGCAAGAATATAAATGATCTCAGCTGTTATGGATTAGTATACCATCTTCTGCACAATTAAAACTGGTCAGCAAAGATCCCAACTAATTAATTATACAAAACTACAAGAACATATTTACTGTTTTACAATCATTAAATTAGCTAGAATTTTCGTTTACTATTTCAAATAAGACAACTATATATCATTACCAGATCCATTTGTAATATATTAGGATTTTTTTTTTCCAAACCACACATTTAATTACATCCTTCATTTTCTTTTATTTATAAAACAAGTACTTTATATAAAAAATTTCCCCTTCATCATGAACAGAACATTATTCAAACACTTGCACATGAGCAACCAAACTTGTACCCAGCAAACTATTTGGCAACACAGCAACATTGTAAATGCCTGTAAATTCTTAAATAAAAATCAAATAGTCTTTACAATGTTTGATTAGCAAAATGTGTCTTTCTATTCTTCCTTCCCTCCCTCCCAAAATGTTCTGAAACCTGGAAAAAAGGTTAAAAAAAAACCCAACCCACATTTCTAATATTTCCAGTTTAAAGTTCCATGCCCTGGCATGTCAAAGGACAGCTTAACCTGTCACAGTTCCATTCATGAGCTGCCTGCAGTCACTCTGATCACTACTGATTAGCTTTAGTACCAGGGGAGTTCAAAACACTGAAAAGCAAATTATTTAGGGGAAATAAAATAAGAGGGAAAAGGGGAAAAAGGAGCAATTAAAAAAATGTCAGATTACATTTAAAAGGTAATGTTGCCTTTAGTAGATAATAAAGTATCTAAAGTCCAGGCATTTGAGGCAAGTACTTTCGACTAGTTAAATTATTTAGTGTTGATTAAAACACATTTTGCTGAATATGAAAAGCTACAGTCCAACAGAGAAACCCACAACTGAAACCTGAATGGGATTCATAGAACTAAACAACCACAGGTCTGCATAATTGTGGCTAAGGAGGGGATACAAAACCTAGATTGTTAATCAATGATTAATTGACTATTTCAAACAATGTTTTGGCAGTCTGGTCCTAGCACCTCATGACTTGGATGTGAATCCCAAAGATGTCATGTTCAGCACCTAATGCAATGCTGTACCCTGAGAAAACCATAGGTTAATGTAAAGAAAGTGAAAGTGTCACAATTTCTCCTGTGTTTTCCACCCGCTCAGGTGAGATGCCAGCACAGGGTTTGCTTTCCCTTCCCACAGCAGCCCTGGAGCCCAGCCCGAGGCAGCAGAGCCTCTGCTGGCCCAGGGGGCCCAGGGCCCCTCCAGCCTGCCTTTGCCAGAGTCCTCCCCTGCCCCTGGCACCCCCAGCTCCCACCAGAAGGGATTCCACAGTTGTCTTTTGCTTCTTCCAATTTCTTAGGTATTTGTTTTTCTGCTTTTAAAAGAATTGTACTGCTTTGATGCAAATCGTCTCGCTGAAAGATCCCATTCTCTGCTGCAGAATGATTAGTTATTAATGCACACTGAGCAACTGTAAGCAGACAGTTTATCATAAGCAGGAGGTGTGCTTTATCAGGAAAGTGGATTTTATCTTATGGTTATTCTAGATTTACTACTTTAAGGCTATGCTTTACTATGCTCTTGCTCTACATCTGAATATTTGTATTGTTGATAAAAATACTTTTCAAAAATCTAATATACAACACAATATCATTGTAGGTGTAGGCACTGCTTAAGTATGTTCAGAAATCCTTTGTGTGCAAATTTAGTTTTCTTCAATCTCTACATTTTGGTAAATTTGGAGTTTAAGACAACAGATTCTGTAATTGATACCGTAAATTCTAATTTGGAATTGATCTCACTGAGTCACTCTGCATTCCAAATTCTGTAAAAATGCAACTAAACATCAGGCTGCAGCTGTGAACTGTATGTTTCAGATGGAATTTTACTTAATATTAACAAGCAGAACTTACCAGGTGTAAGAACGTCCCAAATATGCAATAATCCTTCAATGCAGTTTATCCATTTAGGCACTTAAATCTTGTACCCAAATTTATGTTTTGATTGCTAATAAAACACAACTCCTTTTAAATATATCTGAGATGTTTAGACAGGTACCACTTGTGAAAAAAGGCATCAAAAATAAGCTTCAACACCACTGTAATATATTTTATTCTTCAGGATGTTACACTGTAATACTCTTCAACTGGGAGCTCACTGCATCAAATGTTTGTAGAAAGTGTGTGGATCTCAAAGTTTCTCATGATCTCCTTTTGCAGGGATGCAATGAACGTTTCAATCCTTCATGAAACAGGCACAAAATGCAAATTCCTTCATTAATGAAGCCAGTTGTGTCAGTGCCCAGAACTTAAGAATCACTAAGTGGCAGAGGACACCCACCAAAATCATAATTCTCTTCTTTGATTTTCAGCAGCAAATTTGTTTTTAGATCATTGGTCTCCATCCAGAGTGACCAGTCCCCAGCCTCGCATGCATATACTGTAGTTAAGGATAAATTAATGTCATTCATACTGTCCCCAACGAGGTCATTCCTTCATACTGTTTCTTCTGTTGACAGCAACAATGGATTAATATATTCAAATCCTTCAAATTCTGACTGATCTATTCGCTTTATTATATCTCTGAAAAATAAATGAGAGCAGTGTTTAGTTTATCAGAACACTGGGCAGTCTTCCATCACATAAGTTATGCAAGACACAAAGAATTTCAAATTTACTGTAACATGACTAAGTTCTAATGGCAAGAACATAGTTGTGGGAAATAGTAAAGGTAAGAAGATTTCTAGAAGCAAGATAGTAAAAGGTTTTAAGCTTAATGATGGTGTATTGTGTATTGTAAATAGAAGACAAGCAAACACTGTGTGAAGCAGGTGTACATGTAATTGGCTAAAACAACTGGCTGTAAGCTTTAGCAATATGCTATTGGCTAAAAAGTCTTTAAAATGCTTTAAAGCTGCACCAAGGGAAATACTGGTTGGATATTAGGAAAAAGTTTTTTACAGAAAGGTGATAAAGTTCTGGAATGGCTGCCCAGGGAGGTGGTGCAGTCACCATCCCTGGGTGTGTTTAACAAAGCCTGGATGTGGCACTGGGTGCCAGGGTTTAGCTGAGGTGTTGGGGCTGGGTTGGACTTGATGATCTTTAAGGTCTCTTCCAACCTGGTCATTCAGTGAAAGAAATCTTTGGCTGCAGCTGCCTGTACATGAGCTTTTGCCATCTTCCTACTGCCTCAGCCACGTAATGAGGCTGATGCTGCACTAAAAGCTCAAGGAACATACCCCAGCAGTCCCATCCCCTTTGTGAAAAGAAAAAACTAACCACACCAACACACAGAGTCTTAGTGATTTTCAGATAAAGTATGAATTAATCCCTAGAAATGCAGCTGGACTGGGGCAGAGCAGCACATACTCATCATCTGGGGTGAGCTGCACGGGCTCGCTGGTGAACTGCGTGTCGAAGTTGTCCAAGCCGTAATCGTCCGTGATCTGCGGCTGGAACGGGGGCGTCGTCTGCTTCTTCTCCAGCTACCCAACATGTGGGGAAAGGAAAAAATTACTGTGTGCAGGAGTTACAGCATCCCTCAGGAAACTCCAATCCAACTGCTGAAAATGCTATTGGAAAGGAACATCAAAATACCAAGTAGTACACCCTACAAACCAGGCAGCAATACCATTACTGCTCTGCATTTGAAAATAAAAATACACAAATAATTCAGCCTTTTAGGTTTTCTCCAAATTGGTAGATTAGATTCAGGATTCCCACAGTGCTGCAATACAGCAGTTAGCACAATATATTTACTTTTGTTCCTGAGAAATTGACCTACTTTTCTTCCTGTACTTGTGTGCAATCTGTCACATAGTCCAATTCATAGTAGCACAGACACCAACATTCTCATTCTGACACTTATATTCAAGTAAAAAACTGTCTGGGCTACAAATCTCCATAATCTAACTTAGGAAAGGTAACTGTGATGAGAGTGAGCAGTAGTGACCACTGATCAAAATGATCACTTGTATTACCAACCTCAGATAAAAACCTGATTTTAAGGCCAGAATCTCTCATGATGCTTGGTACAGAGCAAACAAAACAGGGAATAAATCCCAGAAAAATCTTGGATTTCAGGTGTCAGACAAGAGCACAGGAAGTACAGATGGAGATATGAGGAAATTGTGAAACTGTCACAGGGTGGTGCATTAATACATCAACATCCCATCAATGGTCAGGTCTGGGAAAGCACCATGAAATCAAAGTCATAGGGAAGGAATAATCAGCTCCTCCCAAACAAGAATGGCAACATGAAGGAATCAGCAAAATGAATATTTCAAAACTGAAGCAGGGTGGCAGGACTGTCCCTGTGAGCTGTTGCCACACACTCACATCCAACAGCCAGGCATTATTGCACAAGGGGTTAAACATCAGACTTCCTCCTTTGCTATACTCAGCACAGTATAAAATCCCTCTTCAACCAGCCATAGAGAGAACTTGCAGCCTTTAACTTGAGAAAATGAGTGAAAAACCAGGTGGTGCAGCTCTAGAAAATCCCTCACTGCAAACAGGAGCTGTGGCTTTGTAGTTCTCACCCCAGCATGTAATGGTTAAACACCATGAAACAGGCACTGAGATAAGAACAGAGTGAATATCCCAAAACAATCCAAAAAAGAACTGCCCTGGGTGCTGCTGAGCCATCCTACACCAGAGTGAGCAATCTCAAGTGTTCTGGGCTGTGCCACACACTTGGGATGACTAACACCAGGAAAAATGTTCCTGGGCTGTGTGCTCTCTTTCCCTGTATTTATTTTTCCATTTAGCTCAAGCTGCACACAGAACAAGTTTTAAAGTTGGTGTTAGACTCGTTTCCTTATGTTACAACTTGAAAAGATTTGGAAAAGCTTTTAAGTCCAAATGTTTTCTTTGAAAGGCAGGTGGTGAGTAGGAGACTCTAATAACTAAAAAAGCTTTCCAAGTATTTTCTCATTTTTTCCTGAGTACGTTTGCCAAAACTTATTAGAAATTTCACTTCAAATTTCTCTGACGTTGATCCTCCTGAGCAGTACTGTCCTAATCATATCACAAAACAGATCACCTCAATCTTCCCAATTTTTTTTTAAATAGGGATTTAATATTAAAGCTTTCAGCCATAAAAATATGTTAGAAAATGTAAAAATTCAATCAGCATAAATGTTGACCATAAAGTACCAGTTTCGATGAAGATTTTTTTCCTACAAATAAACAAAATACAAATCCAACAGTTGTCTTTTTCCCAGTTTGTCTTTTTCTTTCTCTCAAAAAAAAAAAACCTGCAAAGCAGAACAAACTGCAGGACATGATGTTCTGCTCCACACCCCTGGTGAGCTGCACTGGGGCACCACAAGATAGAAAAAAACCCCAAACCAAACCCAAAAAAAACCACCACTAAGGTTGAAGGGAGAACTCCAAACAAGGAATGTCTGACAAAATTAAGGACAGCCCTCATTACTGGGATAATTTTATAAACACCAGGACTTTTAAAGCACCAATTCCTTCTGCACTGTGTTCTCTGAAGAATGTCACAATGAAATTCAGAGCAGCAGCTTCAAAGGGAAAATGAAACTGTGCAGCTTTCTCTCATCTGAACTCTTTCATGTTAGTGCTGCCTCTTCCTACACTTCCTGCAGCCTTCCCAGACTATGGAAATACTACAGACACACTTTTCAATTGTTAACTACCTATTAAAAATGTAATGCTGGCAGGGAGGTGCTCCAGACTTTACAGCTTTATTGCTCAAGTGTCAATAAATGTTATTATGGCATTTCTGGGATGGTTCTGCACTGGAGACAGAAGGTAATACAATTACCAAGTAGCAGAAGAATTAAAAACCAGTGTCAGTAACTGTTATAATGGCATTTCTGGGATGGTTCTGCACTGGAGACAGACTGTAACACAATTACCAAGTAGCAGAAGATTTAAAACCCCAATTTTGATACAATATTTGCTTGCAAACACACTGAGATGCAAGTCATCTTCTTCACCATGAACAGAAAACCTCCCTCACCTCAGCAGTACTAAAGAAAACCTGCAAACTGTAATCAGAGCCCCTTTACAAACAACCCCACTGCTCTCCTGCCACATCCCCAACAAAAGGGACTGATCCTGCTCACCCTCCTCAGGTCACTGAACCCTGACACCCACCTGAACAATCCTACTGCTTTTAGGAGTCCCAGAATTGCTAAATTCAGCTGGATTTGATGTACTAGGACCACTGCTTTGACATTTCTAGAATTCATTTTGCCTGTTTGCAACAGGGTTGTTGATGTGCACACAACTAATAAATGAATGAACGGTTCCTTTGGAACCCCCAGAAACACAAGGAGTGATTTTTACCAGATCCCAGTCTATGCTGCGGAAAAACGTGTGAGACTTGATATCAGCAAATCCTGTCTGGGGCTGACAGCCAAGCCTTTCTTTGGGATCCTGTGGAAAACACAGACACTGGAATTACACACTGCAAGCCACTTACAGCCCACGTTTGCCAAAAGCCCACAGAGATGACTCCAGCATTCCCATGACTGTGCAAACTCTGCTGGGATAAACACACTATGGCTAGCAAGGGATGCTTAACCTTTTTCCCTTTTTTTTTTTAAACAAAATTTGCTTGAAACTTCATTTTTAAATTATCTTTTACAGCTTCTTAAAATAATTCATATCCTTCTTTTTTCCATGCGTGATAATGGTTCTTCAGATTTCAATCAGCTTAATTAAATGAGTAATAAGTATTACAGAAAAGAGTTGATGAACAAAGCTACAGTTATTTTTTAAAAGCCTGCACCTAGTTGAACATGAAGCCTATGCTGAGGAATTCCCTCAGTAATTTTGAAACTCAGTGGGGTTTTTAACACAGAGGATACCAAGGTTTTATAGATTTTCTTAACAGTAAGCAGATTAACTTCTTAACTGTATCACTTTCAACAGGAAGCTCTGACTTCCAGCTTTCAGATGCTAAAAATAAGAGAATGTTACTTACCTTGTTTAAAAATCCTTTTAACACATGGGAAGCCTTGACAGAAAGAAACCTTGGAATCCGGATTGGCTTCTCCAGAATAACTGTGACAGGTTTAAAAACAGCAATATTGGGTTTTGTGACATTGGCCATGAATTCAATACAAACATTTATTATTTCAGTATGGTACCAGTTAGAAAATGGAAGATAAAGTATTTTTTTTTAAATGATGCAAACAAAAAGAGCTGCAGGAACTCAAAGCATTGTTCTACTGACATTGCAAGATTTCCTAAGGGACATGTTACCTTCATTACCTTTTGCTATTATTTGTTGTGTAAACAGAAAATAAAACTTCCAGTTCTCAGTATATGGAAAAGTGTGATTTTAAACAGAAATTTATTTTATATCAGGCCCTTCAAGAAGAACATGACAGGCTCTGTTACAGAACTGCAGGAGCTGCTTTAGAGAAGCTTTGCCTGCTGTGGAGTTGGCAGCATTGCAGGGTAACACTGGGAAAGAAAACCCCAGCTCTGCCATACAACCTGCCCATTTGGATTATATCCCCCCAAAAAGCACCCCAAAGGCTGTACCTTGGAAGAGGTAATCTTCAGTGTTCATGTCTGGATTGTCAGTGATGATGTCGAACGGGGACCTCCCGGCCATCATCTCGAACATCAGCACCCCCAGTGCCCACCAGTCCACACTGAACCCTGCAAGGGGACACGCAGCTTGCTCAGCCAGCACTCCTTGCAATTTCATCTTCTCTCTCACACAAAGCAACACTGATGGCCTGGTCTTAGCCCTGTGTCCTGGTTTAGGGCAAATCTGGGAGAGAACCTCCAAAGGGGTTCCTCTAGAAAGCAGATTCAAGTGGTTCTTCCCTCAACCAGTCCAGGAAAATATTTCCTTGGAGAAAAGTAGAAAATTGATTTCTGGGCTAAACAAGCAAATGGGCATCACAAAATGCCCATTAAACTGATTTCTGGGATAAACAGGCAAATGGGCATCACAAAATGCCCACTAAACTGATTTCTGGGCTAAAGAGGCAAATGGGCATCACAAAATGCCCATTAAACTGATTTCAGGGCTAAACAAGCAAATGGGCATCACAAAATGCCCATTAAACTGATTTCTGGGCTAAACAGGCAAATGGGCATCACAAAATGCCCATTAAACTGATTTCTGGGCTAAACAGGCAAATGGGGATACCAGCATCATCAAGTCACCCCAGGACTTACTGAAAGCCCTGACATGATTTACACCATCACTGGGTGAGCCTGAGTTTTCTCAGCTGGGATGACAAATGTAGGGGAACTGTCTGCAGGCAGCAAAGCTGCAGTTTAAATATTTTCCTATAGGATTATTTCATAAATATTTTTCAGGCCAAGTATGATTTAAAAGAAGCTGAAATGAGTGATAGGAAGGGGAAAAACCCCTTTATTTAAGGAAAAAAAAAAACCAAACTGTACAACAAGCACTCAAGTTTTATTATATATCAACACAGAAATGTGCAAGTCAAAAAATTAATGGTATTTGAACCAAACTACAGCTATATTTATTTTGACTATAGCTTGTTTAGGCATGACTTACCATATTCTTCTCCTCTGAGGATCTCTGGTGCAATGTAATTTGGTGTCCCACAGAAAGTGCTTGTAGTGTCACCTGGGCCCAAACCTTCCTACATGCAGAAATCATTTCATAAATTAAAAGCTGACCTCCTTTTCTGGATATTTCCTTTAATTAGACTCAAACCCCCAAGTTACTCAGGGAGTTTAAAGAGCTTCCTTTCACAAAATAAATACTCATAGTGCTCAAAATGGCCTAGGACTCCACAGCTCTTCTTCAGCAAAGTTGATTAAAACTGAGTTACAACATGTATGTAATAATATTTTGTTTACTAATTACAGATACATTAAAAAAATCAATTAAACAATTTGGAAGTCCTTTTCAAATAGATATTGGGGAAAAAAAAAACCAAACTTCTATAACAATTCAGTTCCAAATGTGGTTCTATTCAGTTAAGATTTTTTAGAATTAACTTCCAATTCCACAACCAAATTCTGGGCTCAGTAACACCAATGTTAATATAAAAATTAATTTTCTTAGTGTTCTCTAAGAGTGACAGAAGAAAGGTCAGCACAATCCTACCTTGCACATGCCATAATCTGTCAATTTGATATGACCCTCTGCATCTAAGAGAACATTGTCCAGTTTTAAATCTCTGTAGATGATGCCTCTTTCATGTAGGAAGTTTAGAGCAATACAAATTTCAGCAGCATAAAACCTGAAATTAAGGAGAAAGTTCATATTAGCATTAAGATGGTACAAAAGCTGGAGTAACTTAAATATCTCTTCTTAAAACATCATTTTATGCATCAATAGCATAAAAAACCCAAGCTACATTTACTGATAAGGACACTGACCTCTTATAAGACCATTCCCTATATAAAAATGAGGGGTTTTTTATTCTACTAGTTAAGAAAATATTTATTCTTTATTCCACAGATTTTTTTTTTCTGAAAACTCCACATAGCAAGATGGAAGATGTTTATTTTCCTCTTATTCAGAGTGACAGTGAGCCTTTGTGTAGTACAGGTACATGCAAACTGGATTTTTAATCTTCTCCCACCAACACTGTATTATTTCAACATCAGAGCAAATTAGGCAGAATTTTACATGTTCCATCAACAGATCAAAGAGGCATCACCTAAATATGAAGCAATAAAGAGGAGTGAATTGGAATAACTGCTACTATTGGAACTATATTCCAATATAGTTTTGCTCTCTAAAAATATTCATGTTCTTCAAAAAAAAAAAATAAATTTTACATTTCTTCCCAGTCAGGACATCCCAAACTTAAGAATCCAAGTGCAAAAAGCACCAGAACAGAAGCAAACACGTGCCCTGTGCCAGGGATACCTTGCATGTTCCTCAGGAAGTTTCCTCTGCCGTTGCATGTGGAACATGAGGTCTCCCCCATTCACATACTCTATGACAAGGAACAATCTGAAATTACAGAACACAGTTAATGCACTCCAAGGAAACTCTCTAGGAAAGCTGGTTTTATTCTTCCCGTCTGAGCCATTTTCAGTTCCACTCTTGATTCAGAGTTCTAGATTTCTTATAGATACAAAACTATTTAAGAGGGGGAAAAAAGCACTTATTTTATGTATATTATGCAGGAACACTCCCATTATTTAAATGCTGCCACCTTTATCTGTATGTATAAATTAATTACAATTATTAATTATATTAATATATAATGATATGAATTAAACAAGTGTGACACTGTACACAACACAGGCACCAGATGGAAGCTCTGGGCTCATTTGTTCCTCTGGAGAATCAATGTTTGAACCAGGCTGCTCCAAACCAGGGAAAGGTCAGCAGGGGACAGAGATCCAGGTGGAACTGGGCAGACAGAAGGATTCTGTTGCAGTCTGCAGGAAAGCTTTCATCCTTGGGAAAATATGATCCAGGCAATGCTGCCAAGGTCAGAGAGAGCTCAGGACAGGAACAGAGCTGCTGGGGCAGGTTGGGCTGGCCCAGGGAGCAGCATTTCCTTGTACACCTCATTTTCCATGAGCTGAAAGCTCCTTTCCACACATCCACACACTGGAAAACATTCCTTTTGGAGAACACATGCTCCAGCCTCTCAGATCACTCTAGCTGGTGATTTGATTGTTCTTTGGAAAAGGATTCTTCATTTGAAACACTTAAAAAGTGTTAAAACTTAAACCAGGAAAATCTATTGGACAAAATCCAGCTGGCAGGACTCTGAGTGGCCTCCTCACAAGAAGATAAATGCTAAACTGAAATTAAATAAGCAGCAAACAAAATACATAACAATGCCATGAGTATTTTATTACAGCACTCCTGGTGTTTTTTGTTTCCAGCTTTCCTATCCTCTTTAGAAGTCCCCAGTGTTTTATCACCATTCAGAACTTGAAATTGCAAGTTCCTTGCCAAGTCATATTCAGGAGTGTCAGAAGTGGCAGGCCTTGCTGGGTTTAGAAGGATTTACTGAAACACCACCAGGTTTGCAGGATGGAGGTTTCAGACTGTTGGAAGACACTTATCTGGCAATTCTGGGCAAGTCCAGGGCCATATTTTATTACAATAATGAAACAAGCATCATCAGTATCTGAACTATGAACAGCTACATCAATTAGCCTCACATTTAGGTACACATTTGTGTTAAATACTTATTTAAAGCTGTATTCAAGAGAAAGAACATTTCTTGCAACTTTCCCCCCATTAGTACCCTTGTCACAACTTGTTCTATTACAACTCATTTTCTTTGGACCACTTAACACAATCTGATGTTGATGAATTTATTCACTTGGAATCAGTTTTGTGCTTTTCCTGCTTGATGTAAATGAGGTCATAATTATGATTTTATAACATTACAGCCATAATCAAATTGTGAATTCATGACATTATGGTTATATCCATGGCAAATGGCTGAAGTTACCAACAAAAAACTAGAGTGTCACTGGAAGAAGCAGCTGGGCTGCAAAAGCAGGACTCAAAGATACACCAGGAACACAGAAAGCTTGGATTATGTGCAGCATGGGGTTTTTTTCCTATTTCTGCTCCTCAGCTCTGTCAGTGTAGCTGCCAAAGAGGAATGCACAGGATCCTGCTGCTGACTCAGCCTTTTCCTGGGTTTCAGTAGTTACAAGAACCCTCCTTCTCAACCCCTCACCCTGCCTGACCACTTGAATTTTTGTATCAGGTGTACAGTTCTACTTTGTGTTTGGTGAGAAAGTGTTTGGGAATGTTGGCTTAACTTAAGAGCCTTTCCCAACAGTTTGTCAGTTGTGTAAATGCTTATTTATTTTTTCTGATGAGTTTGTTTTGGTCACATCCTCACTCAGTGACCTCCAGAGATCATTCTTCATTTCTTTCTCCTTGCTTCCAAACACTCTTTGGTCCATGTACCTTCAGAACAGACACAGCTCCTTTACCTCCTTCATCTCTGTTTTCTCTGCTAGGAAGATTTCCTCTGGCTCTAACCATTGGGGAGGTGAAATTTTGGGGACTGAAGAAAAGATCCAATGCATGGCTTTGTATTTTAAAACTTGACAATACACATTGCAATAAACAGATTATTATTCTTAAGGATAAATGACTGGATAATCCATGAAGACTTTAAAACTTTGCACTCTACACTGCAAGTGAGTTGGATAAATGACAATTTTCTGATTATGAGATATATGGCATGAGGCATTATAAAAGTGTAACAGCAAACAGGTGCCTGTGAAAACACAAAAAATATCCCAAACCACATCCCAATTCCCCAGGAACACAGGCAGGGACATGAAAGTTCTTGTTTTCTTCATAATACAATTGCAAAATAAGCAGCAAATAATCCAGTTTGGATTGTGCACACAGGGACAAAGAATTAGTATTTCTGAGTTAAATAAGCACTTTCTCAAAAATCACACAGTGCTTTGATATGTGCTAAAGGCTTTAAGCCTCCCAGGTAACAACAGCACTGTGCAGGTAGGGGTTTATATTATTATTAAAAGGTTATTATGGGCAGCCCAGCTCTCAGGCTCTTTAGGAACAGTGAAGTGCTGAGAGCTGATCTGGCCTCCTCAGCAGAAGCTGCTGTAAGCTGTTGGGAAGCTCTGTGCTCCCCATTTCACAGGGCTGTGCTCAGGAAGGCAGGACAGCTCCTCCTCTCCCTTCAGGTCTGACCCAGAACACCACACTTTTCTCCACACCTCTACTCCCCAGAACTGACTTTGTTGCAGCACTGAACCCCTGACAATGCTAATACTTCCTTCCAAAAACTCCTGGCTGTGTGATGGCAGTGGTTACATTTGCTTTAGGGGAAGCAGTTTAGCACAATGATCAAGGAAAAAAGAAAACAAAGAATTTCAGATCTTTCTTACCGACTTGTTGTTTGAAAGCATGAATGTAAACCAACTAGGAATGGGTTACTGGATGCCTGTTCAAACACATGTTTCTCTGTCTGTACCCAATCAATATCCTGAAATAGAGTAATTGAACAATCAGAACTCCTGCTGGATAACCACTGTGGGTATTCCCACAAAAACACCTGTGACCATCACAGTGCTGCCTTGCACACACTGGCATTGTTACATTGCTCTTCAGAAAGGCAAGGACCCCTTAAAATCTGGAGGAAATTATAAAACATTGTCATTCAGTTATAAATTCAGAAGTTATTTAAGCAATTAAGGAAGGCCTGCACAAAATCTAAGCCATTGTTAATAACATACATCTGCAATATTTGATAAACTGCTCACACTGCTGCATGGAAATAAATTCAGTTCTTAGATAAATGATCCCAAAGCTGCTGAAGCAGCTCATGCCAGTAACACAAACAATGTGAATCTCCAGCTTTTAAAAGGTTTAAGTGAACTGAACTTCATCTCCTCATCTGAAATTCAAGTTTAATTCAATGATACTACCAAAACCTGCTTAGTTGGTCCAGCCAAAATCATTAAAAGCATCACAGGTACCTTTAATCCTTCAACAGGAAGAAGTCCTGAATCCCCAGTGCAAAACCACATCATAAAAACAGTTTGCATGATACTGGCACAGTGCTGCAAGATTCAAAGCTGGGATAACAAAGCATTTAAGCTTTATTTCATAGAACCACACACAATTTAAACATCACAGACAGCTGGTTTAGCAGCAGATATTCACCCTTCATACAATGCACTGATCATGTGCCACCCTGCAAACACTCAGGACCCTGCCAATATAGCAGAACTGTAATTGTTCTAAAAATTCTCCATTTACCACAGATACTCCCAGCTTCCCAACCAATCTGGAGACAACAAATGGAGACTGAAATGAGACCTTCCTGTCAGGGATGGATGCTGACACTGAAGTCTCAGAGGAAACCAAGAACTGTCACCATCCAATTAAATAAACCTGTTAGGTTTTGTGTGTGGACCCTTGTGAAGATACATCACCTTGGAGGGGTAAACCTGAGTCCAGACCAAAATCCAGAGCCAAAAACCCAATTTTGGATAAAGCACTAAATATGTCCACTTCTTCTTGGTTTAACTAAATGAGCTTCTCTTAAAGAGAGTCTTTAAATTAACTCTTCATTAGTGCTCTTGGCATTAGGATTATACCAGTGCTCCACTTAACAAAACTAAGCTTAGCAAAACTGAACAGAAGCCCAGGTATTTGATTCCTCTCCACTAGCAGCCATACCCTGGTAAGCACCAGGTGATTTAAACATGCTGATACTTGCTATGTAATTGATTTTTTTCTTTGTGGAACACTTCTAAGGTGAAATTTCCATTACTTGTAATATCACATGCACTCACAGAATTCAGTGAATTTCCTATCAATTCCCAGAATTTCATTATATGGCTTATCTTAGAGAAAAGAAAAACCAATTAGCTCTGTCTTCTATGTAATTATGAGAGCCACAATTCCAGAAAGCCTTTCCTCATCTACCTCTGCTTCTCAAACAGCTGCACAACTCATTAAACAGGACTTGGCTTTGGCTCCCACCTTCTTGGAAAAACACATGTTAAAAAAGGAAAACAGTAAATAAACCACACAACAGCCTCATCTTGCTTCATAAAAAGGAAACATCAAATAAATGAGAGAGCCAAAGGATTTTAGAACTAAGCCCAGCCTCTGGAATAATGTCAGATGACAGAGCAACTGATTGAAACTACCAAGACAAAGAGCACTTAAAATAGTGTTTTGATGGTTTTTGCACAAACACCCTACTTTCAATAAAGTGCATTATAGGAAAAAGATGAAAAAAACATTTCCCTTTTTAATTTTCAATTTTCCCCCCAACTAGTGCATTTGAGACCTTGTATTAAAAAAAATCTACAGGATTTTGAAAATAATGGAGAAATGCAGCAGATTTCTGTGGCAGACAAAAACACAGGGATCTCAAATGGCAGTAGCATAATTTTTGAACTCATGGAAGAAATATTTCAGAATACTGAGTCACTTGCACATAGGCTCTGCCAGCATGAGTATAAGAACAAAGTTTCAGCTCCTTTTCTGACACACAGACAATGCTTTTGCCTTGGAAAACACATTTGCTTCCTTTCAAAATTAAGTGACAAATTCCACCCCATTTATCTCATCACTTACAGATTAGTACATCCAGGTTGGAATGTTTAATACATGATTTCTACCAAGACTATTAGTAATTGTTAGTTGTTATTAAAATAAGGGACATTTCTGTCAGATTTCATCCTGGAGCTTCATGCAGAGTTGATGACAAATGAGCTCAAAAGTCAGAAAAACTTCTCTGCCAGAGAAGCTGTCTGAAACATGAGCTTCTTGCTTAGTTGAATGGTTTTTGTTAAAGCATAATAAGTTTTTATAGTATGTAAAAGAATGCAATTAACACAGACTTTTACCTCATCATCATGAACCAGTTCTTTTTTCACTACTTTCATAGCATAGATCTGATCATTCTTTTTTAACCGAACCAGAAGAACTTTGGCATAACTTCCACGGCCAATGACTCGGATTAAATCAAAGTCCTGGAGTCCAAGCCCCTGAGAAATCTTAATTCCATCCATTCCATCAATGACTGGTTTGAGATCCTGTATAAAAAGAAACAGATGCTAGAAACTGAAGACATTTCCATAGCAAGTAACTATTAAAGCAGAGAGATCTTTAAGCACTGGACAGAATTTGCTGACTTTGCTTGGCACTGGCACCCAGGGCTGGATGCTGATTGGAACACATTTGTTTAGAAATGTTTGGTTTCCATTGCATTTGCTCTAACTAAAAGTTACTGGTTTTTTTCTAGGCAGCAGTTCATCCAACTAATCATTTTCATATTCCCTGCTAGAAAGCAGAAGGCAGTGCCTTGAGAAATGAGGTTTATCCAAATTCCTGAACCTCAAGGCATGCACATTGTATCCTTTGTACAAAGTGAGGAGCATTGCTCATATTCTGACAGATACAGCACAAATTAATAAAGGCTATCTAAAAATAAGATTAATAAGGACACACTAATTTGCTAATGAATATACCTGTCTTGGTTTCTGTTTAGGCAACAACTGTCTGTGTTCAGCTCACTATCATTTTAATGAAAATTAAGATTTCTAACAGGTTCCTGGGAATACAGAGAAGCAGATCTCAATTTCTTAAGTCTGGACATTTGCAGGAAATATTCCACTATGAAGAATGTTATTTTTAAATTCATTATTTAAGAAAGAGAAATTTTATCTTGGCTATTTGCTGGAATTAGATGTGAAAACATGGGACTGAAGATGGAGCAGCTGAACCACATGAATGCAGCAGGTACTTGGACTTTCAGGTTTTACCAATATACCCAAGGCTTTGACACACTTCTGTGGCCTATTTTTATCTGACCTCACACTACTGTACTTGCAGACAGATCAGCATTCTGCAGAACTGTGGAAAGTGTTTATATAAAGAATCTTGATCTAGGATTGACTGCTATTAGAAGAGATTGCTCTAAGCTTAAAGATTCTAGACAAAGCCCCCAGAACACCAACTCCTTTCTGGGGGATACCTTAAATCATTTCAGTACAGCTCAAAGGCAAGGTGGCACAATCAGAGCAGTGTCATTCAGGACAGCTGAGCAAACAGCATCTCCCAAATTTCAACACAAACCTGAGCACTGACCACAGCCAAAGTGAGCAATTAAAATTCTTCGATGTGCTTCTAATTTTTACCCTTCCATTTCTGAATTTGAGATAAAAATCTGTAGCTACATGACTGAAAATAAGGCAGTCAGTCACCCAGGAGCAGGAGCTGCTCAAGTGTGAAAGGAATGGTAGTGACAAGCATTGTAGTGGAGGCAAAGGACAAAGGTGCAGCCTTGCTAGAGGGGAACATCAGAACAACTACCAGTGCTGTGCAGAGTGCATCCTATTTATTTTAAACATGCCAGAAGCATTCTTAAAAGAAATGTCTAAGCCCTTTATAATTGAAGCATATTCAGATTTTTCAGACTGCTCTAAAGGAATAACATTGTTGATGTGCAGAGATTGAGTCAGATCCTCTACAAAAGACCTGAAAAAAGAGTTTAAGTGTACATTATTCTACTTGTGTTTCCACAGGAGCTGTGTAGAAATGCTTAGGTATTATTTATATGAACCCTCTCAGAGAGCTGGGTAGTTAATGGGTCACCAGACTGAACCAAGTTCCACAACAATAGCCTGAGGTGACAAAGGGTGAGCATCCATTAGGGACAGCAGACAAGGCAATGGCAAAGCCACCATTTGTTGTAAGGACCATAAAAGTCAAACCCTCTGCTAAATCACTGTTATTCCAACAAATGGAAGTGAGAAAACAAAAATGTTAAAAGGTATCTTGGATCATGAGTGGAATGGCAACAGCTTAACACAGAAGAAATCTGAAAAATATCCAATAAAAATGCTTTAAAAAAATTATACATGTTCAGAAAAAAACCTCAGACTCTTGAAAAGGGCAGCAGAAAGGCCAAAACAAATAATCAGCTATTTTATAAAAAGTTGAATTATTAGGTTGGACTTGATGATCTCAAAGGTCTTTTCCAACCTAGTTCATTCTGTGATTTGGAATACATAAATACAAATTGCAAAAATATTTTAAGAACATACCTCAGAGTCATCTTTAATGGTGTCATGTTTCCGGTTTGAAGGAATGTAGGGAACTGGAAAAGAAATCAAAGTAGTGTGGTTACAAAGGCCCTCATTGAAATAGTTTTAAAAATCAATAAACAGAAAGATATTTAGTAGCTTATGGCCAGGTTGCTTTAAACATTACTCGTCCATACTGACCATATTTTGACCAGGTTGCTTTAAACATTACTGGTCCATACTGACCATATTTTGACCAGGTTGCTTTAAGCATTACTGGTCCACATTGACCAGTTGACCATATTTTTCCACTTTTGTAAACAGGAAGAGGAAAAAATGAGGGCAAGAGGGATTCTAAAGCAGCAAAGCACTCACTTCCATCAGTGTCTTCTGAAGGGAGATCAGCCTCATCGTTTTTGTCATCTAAGCGAGGTTCCTGGGAAGGCATGACCGAATCCTGCCAAACACAGCCACACAAACAAACCCCACTGGGCATGCAGCCCTGGGGGTGCCCTGCCTGAAACTCCATGAGATCCTCCCCTCTTCCACAAGGAAAACTGGATTTTGGAGACTACATGTCCAAATATTAACATTTTGTAATGCGTTGTAAAAGCAGCCTAGCAAAACCTCAATTAGCCATTCTCTGCAGCTACAACAGATGCTTGGCTGTCTTCTAAAAATAAGAGTGGGGTATTTTACAGCAAAGTTCAAAATTTTATTCTACTTAAAGACCTCTTGAGTGTTTCACATGGAACTACAACCAAGTAAACACTTCAGCATGATGTTACACACTCCATTTAGAGCACTGGCATATTCCTTTCCTGCTTAATAAAAACATGAATTTTTTTCTCATTATGCATAAATTAGTGAAGGCCACAATAACAGGTATTTTATATTGCATTTGGACCCTGGGCTCAACCCCCAGACAAGCAGGACTATTCCAGGAAGTACAACAGGCATGAAGAAAGTAATTGGCAAAGAATTGGTAACGTGAAGGCAAATCACATACAACACCAGCAAAGAAAAATACTGGTTTAAGTTTTAAGTCACAAAAAATGATACAACCACCAGTGAAATACTGGGGATGAATACAGGAAAGGGGTAAAATTGAGATACACAGATGTTTAAGTGTTTTGATGTTTAAAGCCTAGGAAAGACACCAGCATTGGCAATGGGCTGAGGGCCATGGAGAGGAAGAGAACAGTACTGGAGAAACTGAGGTGGCAGGAACAGGAAAGCAATAAGTCTTTCTGAAAAGAGCAGTGCAGAAATTATATCAGTGCCTTAGCTCTTAAAACATTCCCACAGGCTAAAAGGAATAACTTCTGAGGTCGTCAGTGTCTATTGGAGAAGCCAAATTCAAGCCTGAGCACAGTGAAGTCATATCACAAGCCTTCTTTCTCACTTTCTCTCTGCTCACAATCCAAAGGCTTGCCCTCCACAGAAACTGAAACCCAAACACTCCCAGGTGTTACAGATCCACAGCCATGGCCACATTTCCTTACTCAGGACACATCTACCAACAGCAGCACAGGCCAGAGTGGCACCCCTCAGCCCTGCCCAGAGCACACACTCACCATATGCCTTTTGCAGGTCAGTGGGACAAGGATGTGACAACGTTTATGGACCAACAGCTTGCAGTTGATACACTTGTAGCCTTGCCTTGCGAGCCCCCATATCCTTTCACTGCACTGGCCACAGTAAGCTCTCTGCAAGCCACAATGCACATCATCAGTTCCAGGAGCAATCCCTGCTGGAAGTCAGCAGTTCTCTAGCAGCAAGAGCCCATCCCAGTCACCTAACAGATGTTCAGTAATAATTTTAGAATGTCCAGAATTACAATAATAGCTGAAGGTTACACTTCACACCCAGAATTCAGCTAAATAGAGGGGTTTTTTTTTAATGAATGTTAGGAAAACAAATACCTCAAGCATATGGAACACATTACAGTGTGACATTAGCAAATTATTGTTAGAGAATAAGTCTATTTAGAATCTCAGGTTTTGACAGAGGTCACCCAAACAAAACTGCCAGAAGTTTGTAGTACATAATTATGTATAAGAAACACCCAAACTGACTGTGCTGGAGAACACTGGCACCAAATGTTAAGCAGACAATGTATAAAAAGTGTTCTACATCTACACCTATACACTTTAACAGTGGGAGAAACTTTGCATAATTAAAACCCATTAATCATGTCTGATATCAAGCTTCTGTGTTGCACTGAGCATCAAAAATCTACGGTGTTTTTATATATGTAAGAAAAGAGCATGTGAGTTAAATCAAAATGAGGGTAAATGAAGAATCCAGACATCCTGCTGCTGACTTTAACAGGAGAGGTTTTTAAATCATTGTTCCAGTGTATGTTGCTATGGTCAAACTACAATCTGAGATCCTTATACACCAAGGAGTCACCCAGGCCTGGGGATTGACAACACAAAACCCACTCCCGAACCCCTGGCTGCCAAAGCTCTCCAGTCATTCCTGCAGCAGGCTGAGGCATTGCCCATCACCCTGCAGCTGCACAGGAGCCCTGCTGCTTCCAGCCCAGCTCAGCCAGACCTCCCAAAGCCCCAGTGCCAGCCTGCTCCTCCCAGGCACTGCCCGTTACACTGCGGTCACCAGCAGTGAGTCACACACACCCCTGCCCAAAACTCCTCAGCTCCTGAAAATCCCTGCTAGCAGTGCTGGAATAGTCAAAAACTAATGATCAAAGAATGGAGCATTTCTTCAAACAAGCATTTTATATTGTTCTTGCTGTATTTTGGTAGTTTTAGAAAACAAGACTGAATTCATTCTCCTTCATCTGTGCAGCCAGTCCTCTTCGTCAGGAGAAACCCAAACTGCACTGCCCAGAGGAAAGAAAAACAACCCAAAAACTGCCTGATGAGAGGAAGCCTGGGACATCTATTGCCACCTCTTCCAAAATTCCTGGCCCACCAGACTTCCTTCAGTATCCTTTTATAGGTTTTGCAGCAGTAGTATTAAGACTAAATAAAACCTGTCAGGCCCTGGAAGTAGGGGCAGGTCCCCAGTTCCATCAGAAATTCAGGTAACCCTTTCACAGCTCTCACATGCAGTCAAAGCCATATCAGAGTTGACCTTTATGTTATGTTCAACAAGATTAAAGTTTAAATTTTTGCATCTGTTCATTTATCTGAATGATCTGAAAAAGTTACAAAAGGTTTCCTTAAGGAAAAAAATCTTTAAGGCAACACTCCAGCCTTAAAAATTCCATCAACACTGAAATTTGGTATTGAATTCAGTAATACAGACATTACCATAATACATTTAGTGATAAAATGCTGAGTTTTAAGGGGTTTTTCCTTCTTTCAGTGCACTTTTGGGGTGGGAAATTTTAGAAAAAACATCCCTGCTGAATGAAAGAGTTAACTCTTCCGAGTGCACTCAGTTTTGTGTGGAATTCTCCCAAGTACATTTGTATATATGCTGCAATACTTAGGCATAATGGGATAAGTGAAGGAGGTGTCTCAGCCTTAAAGCCACATTCACTTGCTTATGTGGATTAAATCAAGCTCTCCAAATGCAGCTGTATTTTAGCTCAAAAAAAATATTTTTTTTTAAATTCTTAGATTGTGTAGTACCTCAGATACTAAACAGTTAAAGCCCACATCAGCAGCTGTAACTTTTATGGATGGCAAAGTGTTCTGAAGGTAAAAGATTTTGCTAACAAGCAACCAAAATCACAGGAATGGAGAGAGGAGAAGCTGCTCCAAGGATGTATCAGCTTAAACAGTCACAAAAACAGTATTTTAGACTTCAAAAATAAATAATTTCCACCAATCCTGTATTAACTCAAATTCAAACACCGCCAAGTTTCGCCTGCTCGTTATGACTCGAATAACACCGCAGAGCCCAAAATGTCACACCAACAAGCATCCTGCTTTTCCTTTCTTTCCAACACTCCAACACAGAAAAAGCACAGACTGAGGCAAACAATGAGCACAGAACATGAGCAAACCCCAACGTTTCATGCAACAGTACTCACTCTGTTAAAACGTTTGGCTTGAAACAAATGCCCATTCACTCGGTACAGCTTCCTCCATCTTCGGGCTCCCCGGCGGTAGATGGATTCTAGGGAAGAAACCAGAAAGGTGTAAGGCAGCAGCATGGCAGCCCAGCAGCACCACACACGGCAGGGTAAGCAAGTTGTGACTCAGAACAATCTTGCTTTCCTAAATATCAACGCACAGCCACAATCCCTGGGGATTTGGATTTTTTTAAGGCAGCCGTGAGTGACGGCTGGGGCAGGATGTGCTTTCACCGCTGCCTCTCCCTTCCCTCCAGCCCTGTCTCTTTTCCCTCACATGATCATAATCCCGTTACAGCTCCGTGCCTGCTCTGGCTCAGGTGAGAGGGACAGAGCTGTTAAAGGAGCAGCTCCTCGGGGAAATGGCGCTGCTGCTCTGCCCTGGCACCTTCCACGGACACGCACAAAGGATGGCTGGTACGATACTGATAGCGTGAGACGTGTTTGGTACTGATAACACCTCACCCATGCCACATTCAACATGTTATAAGTCTGCAGAGTTACATCATTTGACTTCATTTTTACCTTGACAGTAAATATTTCTTTTGTTCAGGCAGGTCAAGTGCAAGTCCACGATTATTTTTAATATATTCTAAACATAACAAGAAATCATTTAATCTGCTTAAGCCAAACCCAGTGTCTAATCCAAGTTACTTTTCTTGTGGCTGTTTACATGCAGATGAGCAGCTTCTGTGTGAATGGCTAATTAGAGAGTTTGATATTTCATATTAAGTGTTGTGCCACAGGGGTCCCTTTTAGAGCTGCTCACAGCCGTAAGGGTGACACAGCCAAGCCCTGCACACCACCAGGGTCACAGCTTCCCACAGCTGGTACAGGTGGGTTCTGTGAGGAACATGGATGTATAAAGACTCTGACAGACCTGATTTCTAATTGATACTTTGTCAGAATAAAGCAGACTGTACATTTATAATCCCCAGGAACTAAAGCAAAAGCATCTTAATTTTCATCTTTAATGTTACTTTCAAGTTTCAAACATTCACACTTCATCAAAGATGAAGACTTTTTTTAATAGAAAAACACAGATATTTTCTGTGTCAAATGATAATGCAAGTAGTAAAAAGTTTCTTTGTCAAGAAATTATTTTAGCATTATATTGAGCAAGCCAAAACTCACAGGCTACTGACACGCAATGTGTGAACACTGGCTGCAATACTGGTCTGATTTTAGATCCTCTATTTTTGTCCTTCCAAAGGAAGCATTGAAGTTTCTGTGATTCCACATCCACAGTGCCAAATCCCCAAACATTCATACCTACTCTATTTGCATGTGCAAATGTTTACTGTGCAAGCATTTGAAACAGATACTGCACTATTAAACTAATTGTTAACAATTTGGAAAAAGAAAACCAACCAGCTTCTCAAAGCAGCTAAAGGACTGCACACCCAAAGTGGCAAAGACAGAACTACTGGAACAGACATGCAGACTGGATATGGCCATTTGACTCAAACAACTTTTCCAAACCTGCCAAACGTCAACCTTAAAGCAAACTTTTCTCAAGTGCAAAGAACATTAAAATGAGAACCTAGCAAATGACTGCAAGGTTTTTAACTAAAATATGTTCAGCCACAAACACCAATGGAAAACCCTTCCATCATTTCTAGGGTGACTTTTCACCAAGAGGAAAAAATCTCCACAAGGAATTTTTTTTCCAAAATAGTTAATTAATTCATCAGACAAAGCACCATATGGAGGCAACGTAATACATCTGTGATCTGAACATTAGCTTATCACTGACATGAGGAATATTAAGTGAATGATAAGTTAACGAGCAGCTTGTGCTGATGAAGTCTGTAAATAGAGGAGCAAGTCACCTCCCTAATTAATGATAAATATTAAATCAAAGGCAGGGTTTTATATCATGTACTTATGAGGAAACAGACTAACAAAAACTGAGCTTCATATAGACCAGCTTTAAAAAGTGGGAACCCCTACAACTGATCCCCAGGACTGCCATGGTTCAGTGCAGGGGCTGAGGCAAATCAATCCATATTTCCTATTCCCTGGCTCCAAAAGGGGCCAAGGTAAAAAATGAGAAAACAGCCATCCCTGCAAGACACACCTTTATAGCACACATTCTATTATTACTAGACATTAGGATTAAATTTCTATGACAGAATGAAACACTCTTGTTCACTGAGGATCCAAAACTGGGACAAGTGGCTGATGCACCACATGGTTGTGCTGCCAGAGACCTCGACCCCTGGAAAACTGAGCAGCCAGGAACCTTATGAAAGGGGACATCCTTCCCAGAAACTCCCCCAAGGATAGTGCCAGGCTATAAAAAGCAGTTTGGGTTTTCAAGATCATTGTTATTTTGAAGCATTATCAGCTACAAGTCCCAGCCAGAGCTCTACCAGATCAAAGAAACCACCTTGAACAATAATCAGATTCATAAAATGGCAATAAGTGCATACCTTGAGTTAAGGAACAATTTATTGTCAGTGCTGTGTGAACAAAGCTCTCATCTGACTTTGCATCTCATCCCTTCACATGGCAAAATGAACCCAAACAACATTTTCAGGGACATGTTTCTAGAACACTTCAGAATAAAACAAGGAATGGATTCTGTGATTCCTGGTATCCAAGAACTAAACCAAGTTTTTACAGGATTGATCCCAGCTACCTAGAAGGAGGAATGCCACCACAGAAGTCTGACTATTTAATTACTGAGCTTATTGAAAAGGGCTATTTTGTAATTTATTTCACAGCACACTTCAGTTAACTCATTAAGGAGTTCGAGTTGGCTGCTTGCAGTCTGATGGAGATGATATACTCCTAATTAAACAAAGTAATCTTTTCTGATGATTAATATTAAACAAAAGACATTACCTAACCAAAAAAAAATTCTTTCAAACCCTCATTTTGTATCTGAAAACGTTTAGATTAAAAAAATCAAGTATATTTTAAGCTCTTAGCAGGGATAACAATTTTTCATTGGGGAACACAAATATATATTTTAAGTAGAATGAAGGTGCAGAACTTTATGTACTTCCAAGATTGGAAAATAGAAAGAAAAAAAACCCAGCCTTTTTCAAAGTAAGAGTACCAGGGAAATAAAAGTACTCAAAATAAAATAAACCAGCTGCCTCTACCTAAAAAGCAGTGGGGAACAACTGCCAGTTGCTGCTGTGCAATTCTTCCCTCTGTTGTCAAACTGTGCAACTACATCACCAACAGTGATGCACAGGAAACCCTGCACAGAGATCTGATATTGGCTTTCCAATGACATTTTCCAGGACTGGGTTTGGGCTTCTTTCCTCATCTTTTAAAAAATATCGTAGAAAAAAGTTCTAAGGAAAAATGTGAACACACAAAATTTAACTGTGGACATAAATTGACAAGCAATGTCTAGTGTTCAGCATTAATTCCAAATTAATTTATCTACACAGGATACCCCCCAATACCATAACAAGATCTGTAGAACTCCACAGAAAGGATGAGAACTTTGTGCTGAAAAATGTAACTTAGAAAAGCAGGGGAAAACACAAGGAGGCACAATTCCTTTCCAAATGACAACACAGTTGGTTTCCACCAATGAAGGGCAGTGAAGATGGCCACAAAAATTATTCCCTCTTCATTTGGATTTCCAAATGCAATTCCAAAGCTGGCTTTTATGTGATCCAGCCCTAATAAAATCTGCTCCTATCCTGAGCACAGAGGTAATTTGCTATTGCTGCAAATCACTTCTCAGAGATTAATACAACTTGTTTACAGGCCAATTACCCAGCCTGCCAGCTGGACACTACCAGAATGCCCAGTTTTTGTTTTGTTCTTTTAATGTTGTGCTGAGCACACAAGTGAGCATTCTTTCAAAACCAACTCATGAATTACAAGGGGGAAATTGATACTGGCATTTCAGATAGACTGGACTTGGTAAAGAAATTACATATAAAGGTAGAACACATTTTTTGGAACACTAAATTCCAAAGCACACTTTGATAGTACATTGCTCGACATCTGTTATTTAATTTCCTAACATTGAAACAATTTACGTGCTTCAGAAAGCATTTTTAAGACATGCACTGGATGTTAAGTGGCCCTTCTTTTTATTATGAATAAGCTGCTGCATACAATTGAAGTTGGAAAATGAAAAGAGTATCCTTAACAATATGGAGGTATTAAGTGCTTTGACCCCTTGCAGTTATTGCAAAATATTAAATGGCCAGAAGATAGCTTTTTAAATTTTAATTTAAAGCTGATTAGCACTTGGGAAACCATCTCCCCATCCTTTTCTTTTCCAACAGACACTAAAATTAACTATGAAGTCTGTGAAGAAAAAACACAGTTAAGACAGCAGCAATGACCAAGGAAGTACAGGATCAGTGGAGAACCAACAAGGAAACAAATGTCCCACAGAGCAGCAGCATTTATTGCAGCACAGCTGGGTGAACATCCTTCCCCATTGCCCCAGAAGGGGCAGCTGGGTCCCACCTGCACTGCACACCCCCAGTGCTCCCTCATGCCTGAGCTCTTGGGTGCTCACCTTCAAATCCTGCTGCTAAAATGGCTCCGTGGCACTGCAAGGTGACAAAGTCACACCTCCAAAGACAATGCCACAAACACAGCAGTGCTAACAGCTCATTTGGAGCGAGTCTCTGACTCACAAGTCTGATTTTATGTGCAATTTATCAGATGTACTTGAAAATAACAAAATATACCAAGTGTTACTCAAGAAATGGTCACTAAATCCAGTCAGTGGCTGCTGCCCCAGCAGTGACCATGTCCTGGTTCTGAGCACATCAGTGACCACAACCTGCTGATGTCCTTCCCTCCTCAGCCTCTTGTGCTGACACTTCTGCTGTCTGCAAGGCTGTCCCAGACACAGGATAAAATGCTGCTCTAATTTGAAAGAATATTATGAGAAGGGTCAGAAGACAACTGGTGGTGAGTCCATGCTTCTGAAGGTGATGAACATTTTTGTTTAGGCAAGAAAAAAAGGTTCATATTTTCCCTTCTCTAACTGGACCCTCTAAGCAATTTTCAATTCACAGCCTTTCATGATGTGCAGTTGGCTCTTCTGGTT